GCGCACGGCAGCTTGGAGCATCAGGCGTGCAGCAACCAACAGCTTCAGGCGCACAGCAACCAACAGCTCCAGGCGCACAGCAACCAACAGCTTCAGGCGCACAGCAGCTGGGAACATCAGGCGCGCAGCAACCGGCACCTTCAGGTGCACAACAACTTGGTGCTGCGTCAAACTCCGGAGTAACCGATGGCAATGATGGCCTAAATGACGGCGGTGGAAGTGCATGAAGCAACGTACCAGATTTCAGGAGCAATTGTCGAACAAGGACTGGAGTGATGATGAAACGATTGAAGGGACAGAAAAAGGCAACTGTCGAGGGAGGCGCGGTTTATAAACCAAAAGTGTCGTAATTTCAGAGGAAGATCAAATCACTTTCGCTTAAATCTGAAACACTCGGGGGTGTATTTACAGAATGAACATCGATTCTGTGCGGAATTTACTCACTCATGCAGCGCTTTTCAAGTCTGTATTAAAAATATGCTACCATCGAGGCGTTTCCTTGTCTCAACCAGCATATATAAGAAAATGGGTGGAAATTGGTGGGTCTATCATCTGGGAAAGTACTTTGGACCATAGAGTGATTTAGTTTGTTCTCTTCCATGGTCTCTCTGTTGGTTCGCTCATGGTCTCGTTCTGGGTCAGGCTATTCGGTTGGGATAGAGTGGACCGCGACACTGAATCACGGTTTAACCAATTCAGTGTCGTTGCCTAGTTCGCTCTGCTACTCAGTGTTGTTGCGGGCCGTCTCCATCAATTTGGTATTTGGCACGCTAGCAGGGCGGCCTGGATCCAAGCATTGGTCGTCACTGTGGGAAGGTATCGGCCAAGTGGGTCCGTTCCACGGTCATCTTTGTCTCCCTTGTCTGGCCGCTGGCTATTGTTTGAAGCTTTTGGTTGTCATTGGCAGCTGCCACTGCCGCCCATGTTCTCGGCAGGGAACGGGTTTCGATCTGCTCGCAAAGGACTTGCACTTCGATCTGCAGCTGTTCGCTGGTGGTTTTTAGAGCGTGCTGGTCGCTTCCATTTCTATAAATCGAGGATTCGACGATAATATCCTTCAGGTTGTTGATAGAGCTGTGGGAGCTCACTGATCATAACTCGCCCACTGTGCTCGACCATGTCTGTGCACTTGGAGTTCACGTGGGGGCGACCTGGTGGTCTCCTCTTTGGGGCTTATTCTCTTGCGAGGGACAATAGAACGTTAGAAGTGCTCTTGCGAAAAGATCCCCGTTGTCTTTTATGTGTATTTGGGGGTGGTGGGGAAGGATTCGAGAGCTCTTCCGAGTGAGCCCACCATCGGGCCGTCCTTAGCGCCTGCTTGGTACACAACAAATTGATTCGTCCATCCCATGATTCTCAGCTGCTCGCCTCAGCCTCAGGCGTTTAAGACTGTATTAAGGTGTGGGATACCAGCAACGGCCAGTGCTCCAAACCCCTAAGAGTCATAGTACCTGGCTCCAAAAAGTTACTGTCATACAGCCAATTTGCAGCATACGCTGCTCACATTCCCTCTGGATGTCGGAGTATACCTCTCCTCAGAATCAGTGCTCTGTCCAGCAGTAGCCAGCCTGACCCAGACAGAGATCTTGTCCTCCAATGCCACTACCAGTTCAAGCTGGACGGTTCCTGCAAACTTATTACTAGGTCCTAAGACTCATGCGACTCCTATTGCGGCTACCGTGCCGTCCGTTACATTCCGTGGAAAGGGACACCGGTGCAACCTGCCGCATTCCGTCTCTAATGAACAGCAGTGAATCGAACATCTGACGTGGCTAAAGAAAAAGGATAAGCGCTAGGGATATTTCGTCATCTACGACCCACCAGTACCTCTCCGCTCCCCGGAAGAAGCCGCAGTAGGTCAAACGCTTGAGGCTATATGAAACACACTTGAGCCACCCACCAAGAAGACCCTAAACCCACGAGCGTTGCCCTAGAGGGTGACTTCAAATGCTACCACCGATATAGAACAGTAACAGCAATGTACACAAAGTAAAGAAAATACATAAATAAGGAACGGGGTGTGCTGTCTCATAGATAGCGACCGCGCGAGCCAAGACCGTGCCGTGACAGAAGACAGGTCGGTATGGCTGAGGCGCGACTATTAAGCATGTTCCTCCATATCTGGGAGCAAATGGTCGAGCTCTGGCCGCATTCTTTTGAATCAAACATGTGCTCGACTTGGACAAAATCGCCATCTAAGAACCGTGGATCACCCCTTCTGAATGCCACCTCATTATCCCAACAAACGGACTCAACGCCTACTCCTTCCTGGCGTTTCACTTGAGCGTCTACTTCTCGTGCGCAAAAAAATCCACACGCGTGGACACATTGGGTATCTTCCGAGGTCGAGATCAGGACTCCATGAGTGCACGCTAACCCGTCCACCCCCACAATATGTATGTTAACCAGGCCGACGCTCCCTGTCCGGACCTGGACTTTCAACACAAATGCCATGATCCATCCGCGTCTACAACGTATTCCCAGGTAACACGGGAGGCATCACGCAAGCGTTAGATGGAGTCGACGAAGGGGACCACATCATCCTCGAGAAGCTCAACCTCCATCACCCGGCACGGTAAGGAGAAGAAACGCACGCCAACCAAGAAGCGAACGCCCAGGGCTCTTTGACTTAATGAGCTACTGAGAGCTCACGCTCACCACAGCAAGAGGGCCCGTGACCTGGCATCAAGTTGCTTTTAGCCGCTCGCTGAGTCCTTGGAGTAGTCTGGCTTTGAGTAGTTGACATCAAGCCATAGAGTGTTCACCTGATCTCCTGTTGAAGTAGGTCTCTTACTAGCAGGTCGATGCAGGCTGAAGGGTGCATTAAGGCGGAGTCATTCACAGTTACTAGAAGAAAAAGGTCAAAGGCTTTCCAGTCATTAATTAAATATTTACGTCATTTCAATAGCTCTAATTCAGCTTGAAAGGGATTAAGATTTCATATAGCACCTCATTAATTAGCCGTGAGAACCTCCCTTCAATGCTTCCTGCTTGGCGTTTTAGAAATCTAGATGTACTCCAAATGGACTGAGATATACAATGACAATCTAGAGAATGTGGTACACTTCTATCTTTCACCATAATTATGCCTAAATAGAAAGCACTAAAATGCTCTCTTTTGTATTTATTCCTAGCCAACAGAGATAGTCACTGTTCAGTCCTCTCTAATGCAGTGTTTTTAACTTTTAACTTTAGAGTTATTCATCCCCTATTGACTGTCTTCCTCTCAAATGTCTCTTATTCTGTATATCAGGCTGGTCAACTTCCTCACTACGTGGGTGCTTTCCAGTGTGGGTGTCAAAAGCAGCCACATATCAGAATAGATCATATTTCAGAGTCCAGTGCTCAATCTCTGTGCTAACTAAGACAAGTGGCAATGATTTAATTACACCTAAGACAACCTGGGGATTCAGAGCACTGCCGTTGAAGAAGTAGTGATCATTAGTAATAGTATTCATAAAGCCAGTAATGTTTTGGTTGAAATATAGATCTAAAATATCATACTTACAGTATTCTCACTTCTTAAAAAAGTAGATCACAGCGCAGGTGTGTCTGTATTTGCCCCATTCACGAACCATTTCATCAAACAAGTGATTATGAGATGTTGGGGAGGTCACATTTAGCGGAGCTATACAGCTGCAGTCTTCGAGGCAGGAGCATACGCTTCCGCAGATTGCAGTACGTATGTTGCAGTATTCTGGATAAGGGCTCACCGATTATCCTCAGTCGTCAACTTTGCGCTATGACCAGCAGGTCTCCGACCCAGGTTGCTTCCCTGCATATTCGGATTGTAGAAGCGGCCAGTAACTGTGGTTAGTGGGGAAACCCCAATAATCATACATCCCACCTAGTACTCCTTACTAAGGTGGGCCATCACATTCTAAAGCCTAAATAGCCATCTACTACTCCAGATTATACGCATGATTTGCAAGGTTCGGAAGCGATGGCTACCTTGTCGGTCGGATGGATATCAACGTCCCTGGATAATTGACAGTAAGGAGAGATTCCTCCCTGAAGAATTAAGTTAAGAGTTCAATTATCGACTTATTCCTGGGGCTTCAAACTACCTCTTATTGGCATCCTTGGATCAATGCTCTTATTCCCCACGCACGGCTGTAAATCTCCCCCACCTCCGCGTGTTCCCCACCAGGGGGTCTCGCCTCTCTCGGAAGACACGCGATCATCATATACCATTCTGAGTCCTCAGAGAGTCTAATCACCTGCTAAGCAAGTTGCACCCAAGGCACTTCCAATCAGATCTCCGCATCGGATGTGAGGGGCGGCGAGCCAATATCTGTGCTACTATCTTCAAACATATAAAACGCCAAGGATCGCTTTGCAAAGATGACCGCACAGTCATCCAGCTGCATTTATTTGTTAGTCAAGGCATACGCCACATACCTTGTGATCGCCGTGGTGATTCTTTGTCTAATCACCAATCGCTTTTGTAGGGGACTTGCAGGAATTCCCGGCCCTGCAATTGCCAAATGGACTCGTCTCTGGAAGTTACGCAGTGCGTGGAAGGGCGATCACCATAATACAGCCAGTGACCTGCATTGCAAGCATGGACCACTGCTCCGCATTGGTCCGAAGCACATATCTGTTGGAGACCCCAGTGCTATTCCGATAATGTACGGTCTCAACAAGGGTTTCACAAAGGTTAGAAGATAGTCGGAAAATTGAAATGATAATTAATCTCAGATAATACAGGGGTAGGTATTAATGCCTACCATGATTTTCCCTTAGCCGGCCTCGCCATCAAGTACAAATTTATTTTGGCCAGTTTGCTAGCGGCTAATGGCGGGGCATGAAAGCTGACTGTGCCAGTACAAGAGCAGGCACATTACTATTAGTTAGAAAGTTATCAGATTAGGCTTTCTCATGCCATACACTATTTGCATCAAACTAAAGAATCACCCATTTCGGCAAAATTTAGAGTCCAGTGGCATATAGATTTCGGATACCCTCCACATCATCGGTTCCCAGTGCTCGCCTCATGTGATTGGGAGATACAGTTGGAAACATAATGCTGTTTGGATCGCTAGAATGGTAGAGTCCAAGACAGTGACCCATTTCATGAAGGCACGTAGTCTCAATATCAAACGCGTCTTGGAATGCTCCATCAACCCAGTGATGTTCTTGGTCGTCAAAATGAAGCGGCAATGGAGGCGCTCTGACAATGATGGAGAATCCCGGAGGAAAGTCTGCATGGGCCAGGATAGGACCCACCATGCTATGATCTGGGTCATCCGCCGGCCGCCATTCAATGAAAATATCGTAGCTTTCCGTAGAAGGAACTTCAGTGAACGTAACTCCAACTCCAGTGTCCATCCAGGTGTTTAAAGCTCGTCTAATGGCGCCCTGGCAGACAGAAGGCGTAACGGCATGTGAGAGATTGCCCAGTGCATATCTAAGATCTCGGTGCCTCCACGGACCAGACACATTAGCATCCAGAGATTGACCATTGAAATCCGGAAGGGCACAACGAGTCTGCGCCATGGCTTTTCTAGTTTCCCTGTCAACAGTACCGTTCTCTGGAATATTGTAAAACTTTTGAAACTTCTTGAGGGCGGAAATTGAAGAATCCTCAAGGATATCTGGTGAGGTTATGGAACCCTGTCTTAGATATCCATAGCGCTGAAGGTAATTATGGACTTCACAGAGGTCAGTGTGCACATCCCCCATGCTTAGATCTGGCAAAGCAATAATCTTTTCTGGTTTATATTGGACACATGTGAAGGGGAGGTTATCTTCATTAGAGGAATGCGAAGGGGTCTCCATCTTGCGTTTGTAGGGAAAGTAAAAGTAAAATTCTCTGACTGGTGAGCTCTCCTAGGATGATTTAGTATTTAGAGGTGATATGGACAGCTTAAATACAGCGGAAGGGGCGGCCGGGTCAAGCCTAGCAGGCACCCATCAGTATGACTTTAATGTAACGATCATCCCGCATATAGCGTAAATGATATGGACGGTGTGGTGGCAAAAGTGGTTTTCCTGCCATTGCATAGCGAAGGTCTCGCAGAGTAAGGGGCAAACGTTCGATCGGGTGATTACATAGTTGGTGGCCTGACTTGCACAATGTAGAAAACAATAATTAGAGTTTCGCTTTTGAACCTTAACTTTCGATCATCCTTTTAAAGACAGAGATTTCTGGCTCCCAATCTTGTTTTGGACGGCATATTAGTTCCAGATGATCTTCCTTGAAGAGTAAATTTGCTGTTTGCAGCGAGAATGAGCAGATAGGGCGAACTCAAAATTAGAGTTTATCGCCTTACTTGTTAGCTCAGTGCTAACAGATCACTCTATTGTAATGCAGTTCGAGAAGAAATGCAGGCGCTCTTGACTAGGCCAATGCGAATGGAAGATGGCCTTGTCACTCATGGAATCAAATGCCAACAGTTTTAGCTTCGGGAACCTGCAAGTACCACACCACACTCTTGAAGATAGGGATGGTCACAATGATGTTAGAATATAGCCTTTTCCTAATAATCCTCCCAAAGGCTTTTAAGTTACATACATTCTAGGGGGCATCCAGGACAAGTCCAGATGATGTAGTAAGATGCATATAACCTATGCTTCTGGCATATTTGACGCCTCTAGATTTCCTGCATAGCATTGTTCTTTAGTTTCTCGTCACTTTTGCATCAGTAACTGATAATGTGTCTATATATGCCACATTAAAAATCCACTGATTGGCTTATAAAAATCTGAAAAATTTATTGCATGATCTGAGGTAATCAACCCTGTGGATACGACACAAACCTTGTTCATGTAGCCACTGTCCCTTAACATTGAACGAGAGGGTAAAAGAGGATTAAATTTCCTGTAAAAACTTTTCACCTTGCCTGCTCTTGCTTTCTGAATCCTGGCACCCAGAGTATAAACTATTACAACAGCCAGCTCACTACTTAGTACCCTTACCTGCTTTGATTGGCACAAACTCCAAACCAATAAAGATCACCAAGCCTGCCAATGAGGCACCCTTGGAGTGCAGCAGCTCCAGGTGGGAACACATACTGGGTATACTTGAACTGCACCATGATAACCAGTAATAATACTTACATCCTAGTGGCGTGCGCCATTCCACTCACAGTAGGACCTTTCAGTCCAGGCAAGGATATCAATTCTAGTGAGCTTAAAAGAGGCAACGGCCATTTCAGAAAAAATCTGGATGCATAGCTGGATTTTTAAAAATAACTATAAATACGTCTTACGGGTAATTTTGGGCATAGAGTCACGCTAGTATTGGGGCAGCTTCAGCGTCCTGTCACTATGCCATTCTAAAATAGAGGTTCATGCATCCAAGCATCAAAACGGCATCTGCACCGTAGAAGAAGAGCTATGTTTCGAAAATTATAAAGCTGGAATTGAGTAAGCGCTGACGCCATTAGAGACTCCACTACGGAGTATATCAATCATTATCTGCAAACAGCCACTTCAATGTGTCCGGACTCTAGTTCTCAGAAGGCATCAGGCAAAAACCCAACAAGAAGGGATTGGTCATACGATCGCAATTGCCACTGCCTCTGTGCGTCTAGATTTTGCTAACATCGAAATTCCTATAGCTGTTTATGTGAGTGAATCGGTGTGTGATCAAACAATTGATTCAGAGGAAGTGGCTGGACTGCTCTTAATATTACACGTGCTCAGATGGCAGGGTTCATCGCAATCAGCGGTACCAAATTCTCCCGCCCTATACACATGATGTGATTGTCTGTTTAGGGGTTTCCAATGCTCTACTGATGCCCCTCTGAGGATTTCAGTGAGGAGCTGCTCCAGCATTGTGAGTTTGCTCACGTGACATACGGGAGAAGCAGCGCCATAACTCCCATGTACACTCTAGGTAAAGTATAGCGTGATAGTTTCCCCTCAAGACATCTGCAGCGGTCAGATATAACCATAAGCTTCCTCAGTAATGATACGGAGAAATTACAATGTGCTACTGGAGATTATACTGTAATAAGCTGCATCAAATGGAATTAGTCAGTAATATTTGCTTAGATAGCTAATTGGCAGAAAAAGAGGAATTGAGTCGTTCAAACTTTTGCCCTACATCATGGACGAGTTGAGCTCAATGAACTCCAGCTTCGCCCTGAATTATAACTGGAATTCCGGCGATAATCACGCCAAGACTGCCTCCAATCTTGATGTTCAAGTCTTCCAAGGAGGCATCCTCAGGTGCAGCAGCACTGGTGGGAGCACCTTCTGGGTATACTTGAACTGCACCATGATAACCAACAACAACAGTAACATCCCAATGGCGCGCCCCATTCCACTCGCGGTAGGACCTTTCGGTCCAGGCAAGGATATCAAATCCAGTAACTACCACTTTACGGGTAACTCCACGATCCGCAACTTTCTTTGTAATATCTCCGGCAACAACTACTGCAGTACCGGTAATTGAAGCCTGCTTATCAGCTATAATTATTGCACGTTAGTATTGTCTTGTCTGTAGTCTTTCCACATAGTCATTTGTTACCTTCCTGAGCAAATATTCCTCGGTATATATCAGCAGTGACTGCATCAACATTCCTCTGCACCCCTTTGTGCACATGAGTATAGTTTCCAATAAGCGGAATTTGCTCCTGGAATACTATGGTTAGATATGCAGAGCCTGTTTCCTTTATTGGACGAAGAACACACCATTTGATATTATTTGTGCTGGTAGCTTATCCTAGTTGATCCTCAAAAAACAAGGCACTTCGGAAAGTTGAACAAGAGCGTGGAATGAAAGAGAAGAGCTTTATATAGAAGACGAGGCGAGAATGACATAATTCTGTCAGATGCTCCATGTAACCCAGTGTTTTGCTTCAACTTGCTTGAAAAATTCTTTGTCGTCATGATGAAGAGGGACGAATCTCCCTTGCCCTCATGAGGAAGGGTGGTCCACCATTATGGAAAAATTCTCTGTCATGCCACCAACATGCACGCATTATAGCCTTCCCCAGGCTTATAGTCTGACCTCATAGTATACTTTGATATTGTCGGCTGACGCCACACCAAGGGGGACCGTTGCATATTTCAGTAATTCATGATGTTCAGACCTGAGAGTATCAACGTCATTTAGAATCCGATACGCAGTGCTTGCGTAATCTGAGTAACTATCGGATTGGTATTACATAGCAATGAACGAAATAGCTGACTGCGGTGCATGCATTCAGAGAGTTAGACTATATCAGGTTAATAGAACTTTGATTGATCAATTGAGCGATTGGATGTGCGAGGTGCCCGTGACAGTCACAAGCGCAATCTTCTACCACATCCGAAAGCCTGGGGGCAACTGGATAGAGAGTGCTTTGGCTGAATGCGGATGCCAGATTCCTCCTAAACTATGGTTCTCCCACACAAACAGCTAGTTTATTCAGAGCAGGAAAGCTTATCTTAACGCCACAATCCTCGATAAAAACTTTCCCGAAAACATACAATTTGTGCGGAACTAGATGTACAATTACAGTGAAACTTATGAAAGAATTGACACAAACACGATAGGATGATATATTGATATTGATTGTCCTCCGCCCAAAGCGTCTAAAATTTACGCCAAGAGGCCATTTGAGAGACACCTAGAATCTGCTTTCCTGGAGAAGTTGCCAGCAGCGCCTCCGAGAAGCGAACGCCCAGGGCTCTTTGACTTAATGAGCTACTGAGAGCTCACGCTCACCACAGCAAGAGGACCCGTGACCTAGCATCTAGTTGCTTTTAGCCGCTCGCTGAGTCCTTGGAGTAGTCTGGCTTTGAGTAGTTGATATCAAGCTACAGAGTGTTCACCTAATCTCCTGTTGAAGTAGGTCTCTTACTAGTGGGTCGATGCAGGCTGAAGGGTGCATTAAGGTGGAGTTGTTCACAGTTACTAGAAGAAAAGGTTAAAGGCTTTCCAGTCATTAATTAAATAGTTACGTCATTTCAATAGCTCTTGTTCAGCTTGAAAGGGATTTCATATAGCACCTCATTAATCAGCTGAGAGAATCTCTCTTTAACACTTCCTGCTTGGCATTTTAGAAATCTAGATGTACTCTGAATGGACCGAGATATACAATGTGCATTAGAGAATATGGTAAACTTCTATCTTCCGCCATAATCATGCCTAAAAGAAAGCATTAAAATGATTTCTTTTATATTTATTCCTAACTAACAGAGACAGTCACTTTTCAGTCCTCTCTAATGTAGTACTTTTAACTTTTAACTTTAGAGTTATTTATCCTCTGTTAACTGTCTTTCTTTTAAATATCTCTCATTCTGTACTTCAGGCTGGCCGACTTCCTCACTGCGCTGGTGCTTTCCAGTGTGGGTGTCAAAAGTGGCTACATATTAGAGCGGATTAAATTTTAGAGTCTAGTGCTTAATCCATGTGCTGGCTAAAATAAGTAGCAATGCTTTAATTACACTTAAGACATCCTGGGGATTCAGAGCACTGCTATTAAAGAAGTAGTAATTATTAGTAATAGCATTCACAAAGCTAGTAATATTTTGGTTGAAATATGGATCTAAAATATTATAATTACAGATACCTGCTTCTTAAAAAAGTAGATCATAGCATAGGTTTATCTATATTTGCCCCTTTCACAAACCATTTTATTAAACAAATGACTATGAGATATTGGGGAGGTCACATTTAGCAGAGCTATATAGCTGCAGTCTTTGAAACCAGGGACCAAGAAGGGAACTAGAATAGGGATAGATCCCTGCTTTAGCAGAGCTATATAGCTACTGTCCCCTGACCCAGTGGCCAAGGAGGGAACAGGGATAGGGGTGGATGTCTGGTTTAGTGGAGCTATATAGCTGTTGCCTTTAAGCCCAGGGCCCAAGGAAGGAAGAGGAATAACAGTTAAAGCTGTTTATATATCAGTCTTAACTACCATAAGGGTGTCTCTGTCAGGCATTCTAGATGGATGAGGCTCAAAGTCCATAGGGGTGCAGTGAGTACTGCATAAATCTTTTATTCACCAGGGACATATTCCCTCTGGAAAAAGGTTCTGGCTGAAGAAGGCAAATACCATATCCTATAATATTATAAATGATGTTAAGTTTTCCCCCTCTAGCTGATCTGGACTATATATATAAGGGATATATATTACTTCCTAATCTTTAAGATATGGTTTTAGAGATGGTAATCTGTACTGCTTAACCTTTCTAGAGCTGGTGGTGGTGGTTAGCAGGATTACTACTGTGCTTATGGGCCTTGGTTTAGGAATTTTAATCAGCTAGGTAATTTTTCTTGCGGCGCCTTGCTCCCATTAGGAGGAGTATTTATAGTAAGTCTATAGATATCAGGCAAGTAGATACACTCTAGTGTTGGGTTTCACCAGGGACTGCGCGCAGAGCGACTTAACCTAAGTAGATTTAAATCCCAGCTGCCTGGCTAGTACACCAAGTTTATGGCTTGATTCTATCTATATTAGTTAGAGTGAACGCCTTTCACTATTCTACTCATCATTGGATCCTGTGAGGTTGGTGTGCATCAGGCTTTTAATATAGTAAATAGCAAAGAGCCAAAGCTACATGTAGGCTGCTATTACTGGTTAAGGTGAATCACCTAAGCTGGCTTAAAGTGCTTTAACTGTATTTTCTCCAATTTGAAGCAACCACTTTGAGCCATTACTATGAAAGTGGAGAAGGAGCGTATGGCGCAGATTATTATAATATCTAGGGACTAGCTATTTAATGGCTTAGGCGCAGGGGTGCCAGAGCAAGGTATCTTGCACTAGAGAGTGGAGAGATAGTATTCAACTATAAATACTAAGAAGCCTATTAAGAAGATTCTCTTAACCTTTACTATCTGCTATATGTGGAAACAGTATTCCATGCTCTATTATATCCTAGAGTACATCACAGTCTATATTAGACTGTTAAGGCGTGAGATTTTTGATCCAGCAGACTAACATTAAGTTAACAAGCTCATTCATGCCTTTGAATAGTGTTGACCAGATGTGGTGAATTTCATCTAGGTATCCAGTAATTTCCTGCACTTTGGTAAATGAGATGACCTATGGAATTGAACTACTTAAATACTTATAATAGGGTAGCTGATTTCTATTAGCTGTTAAAGGAACCTAAAGCTAAAATCTACTTAAAGACCTGGAAATGGGAGAAGCTTATCTAGGCTACTTAAAATCATAGGGTACCTCTATCCCACAGGGGTTGAGAAGTCGAACAATGACTGCTCTAGGGTTTATTTGCGGCGTAGCGCTGATTGGCTGGCAGAGTGGGGAAGCTGGGAATGACTGCTCAAGACTTCATGAGAATGACTTCTCAAGGTTTTAGGGTCCCATCCAGTTCAAAATCTAGGAATCAATAGAAATGCCATTAATCTATAACAGAGCCAAGTTTCAGCATTATAGCTGCCCAGCATAGGGTGTAGCATGGTTTGGATTTAGTTATTGTGGTGGATTGAGGAACTTTGATGGGGTTTTAGGATCCGCACCCAAACATTACACAGGCAGTCAACTGAACCACCCAGGTGATTAATCACATTTGATAACTCAGGGGTAAAGATGGGGTGTAAAAGATAAGAGAGTATACTTAATAAGTTTTATACTCCATTATCTTATAGGAATTTCATCAGATCGACCATTATAATATTAATATTTAACTATAAATTAATCACAATGGAAAACCAGATCTTTAAAAAGATCCCAGCACTACAGATCATCATTTATCGCCAGTGCAAGCATGCAGTCCATCCAAAGGAGGTTATGTCGCATTTAAGAACTAAGCATATAATAAAGCCCAAGGACATTAACCCCATTGCATATGCCATCCACCAGTGGGAGGATATCATCCAGGACCCCAGCGCGGTTGATATCCCCCATGCATTGGATGACCCACTACCCATTATCAATATCTATACCAATGGAATGATGTGCCAGCGGGCCCCTAAGACATACCAGTATATCACCACCCATCTGAATACCATGCGGAAGCACTGGAAGCAGGCACATAGGTGGACCCAGACCAATCATCATGGTCGCGTGGTCAGGGCCAAGAAGGCCCAGGGGGAAGCTAAGCTACAGCAATCATTCCAGCTAGTTGCATGGCAGCGGGTATTCCCCAACCGCATTAGATCACATTTAGTTCATATCCGATCCCACGACCCCCAGCCTAAGGAGCAGCCCCAGACGGCACCCACCGCCCACATCCAGGCCACCATCGATGCGGTGATCCAGGCATAGGAGCAGGCCCAGGCCCAGGCCAAGGCTAATCAGGCCATCCACGCCAGCCAGTTGACTGACGTGAACCCCTGGCTGCGGATGACTCGGTGGGCTGACTATCTGCAGGGCATCCAGGCCCATGACCTGCTAGCCTGCGTGGCAGCCCTGGAGGAAGATGCTATAGATGCCACTGAGCAGCAGGTGCAGGTCATCTGGGCCACCATAGAGCAGGTTGCCCGCAAGAGCCAGCAGATGGTCCAGCATTGCGGCCAGGCCATCCGGGTGGAAGCTATCCGGTCCGAAAAGGGGCAGACCCCATACCGGCCGCTGCTGGCATACATGGATGAGGCAGCAATCAAAAAGTATGTGCAGCCATAGCAGCAGATATTAGCATTTATTACCCGCACGCAGGCCCCGCACGACTGGACCAGCCTGAAATACGGGATGACCACCCGGCAGCGCCAGAAATGGCGGCAGCTGTGGCAGCTTGCTAGCCCAGCCCCAGGTAGCCCCGACCCCCAGGGCAGCTGGGGCAGCCAGGCCGCAGTTCCCAGGGACCTAGAGGACCAAGAGGGATGGGCCATGACCGCCATTAAAAAAGCATGCTTAGAATTTTACATTAAGCTGCTCAACCAGCGCCATCGCAGCCATGAATATAAGAGTGCACTGGTATATGCCATGGCAGTGCTGGGTCAGGGTGAGGCTGGTTGGCAGGACCCCGAGAGCTACCCCCCAATATTATCCCACGTGATCAAGGTGGCCCGATTCATGGTGGTGCAGAAGGCATTATAGATGGACCCCAATCCATGGCAGATCATCCAGACCTGGGCGCGGAAGGACCAGAGCGCTAAATAGGTACTGGCTAGCGCGGATGATCAACTTAGGGAGATTGACAAGGGATATGGCAGTGATGACCCCCCATCCACCCCAGGGCCCCCGTCATCGCCCCTGTCATCCATCCATAGTGATGACCCATTGCCCGCGGTCCACATTCGCCTGAGCCGCCGGCCATTCCAGGAGTAGGTAATATGGATGATGCACCAGTTTATGATCCGCGGGACCCATGGCCCTATGGAAACATTGCTGGATTGGTGGACGTATAGGCTAAAGGTGCATTATAACCATACAGCCCCCAGCCATGTGACGTGGATGGGGGAGGACCAGCTGTTATACCAGCAGATGGCATTCACCATGGGGGATTTTCGGGGGTTCATCCATGGGTTAGTCACTGCGGCGCGGGAGATACTGGGCTAGTTATGCATGCAGGATCATGCGCAGATGCCCCTCATTCTATGGACGGCATTATATGATGATCCCAGCCAGAGCCAGGCCAGGTGGAACTTCGTGCAGGACGCATAGACCCGGTGGCCGGTGGATGGGACCCACTGGATGATTGACCAGCTGCGGGCCGAGCCGGCCATGCAGCAGCATTTCCTGCGGGGGGGCCAATTCCACTGCAGTACCATCCAGCAGTACTGGTAGCGCGTGGCCCAGTTTAAGGAGAAATTAGCCATTCTGGTGCATGTCACCGCGGGGCAGCCAGCCTAGGCCCCAGAGTTGTTAAGCATTCAGCATTGCAACACGGCGAATAGTCAACAGCGGAATATATATATCAAGGATGGCATGGTGACGTTTGTGATGGCATATCATAAGGGGTTCCACGCTAGTAATGATGTGAAGATCATCCATCGATATGTGCCCCGGGAGGTAGGGGAGTTGGTGGTATGGTATATATAGCTGGTAATGCCATTTATCGACCAGTTGGCTGCATGGCAGGCCGTGCAGGCCGGGCAGGGGAGCCAGGCCACGCAGGGGAGCCAGGCCACGCAGGGGAGCCAGGCCGCGCAGGGGAGCCAGGCCGCGCAGGGGAGCCAGGCCGCGCAGGGGAGCCAGGCCGCGCAGGGGAGCCAGGCCGCGCAGGGGAGCCAGGCCGCGCAGGGGAGCCAGGCCGCGCAGGGGAGCCAGGCCGCGCAGGGGAGCCAGGCCACAGAGGGGAGCCAGGCTACGCAGGGAAGCCATGGCATGCAGGGAAGCCGGGCCGTAGAGGGGAGCCAGGCCGCGCAGGGAAGCCATGGCATGCAGGGGAACCAGGCCATGCAGGCATGGTTATGGGGCCCCAACCCCAGTACCGGCCGCAAATGGTCATCCGAGCGGTTCCGGGAGGCATTGAAATGGGAAACCTACACCCAGCTAGGCACCGCCATCCATATTGCTGCATACCGGGACATCACTATTGGCATCAGCTGCTGATTTTTGCAGCCGTCCACCGCGTTCCCCCATAATATCCAGGAGGCCGAGCCGGCCCTAGCTACCATAGATGCCAATGCCAAGGAGGGCATGGATATCAAGCAGTGGATAGGCCATATTGCTAATTTATAGGCCGCCCATTCATCCCACGTCGCCGGCATGGTATATGGCCGTGTCATGCAGGAACAGGCCGGCAGCACAGCCCACCAGCGGGAGATGTTCCGGTTATCCAGTACTGATTGGCATCAGTTTTTAGGGTTTGGTGCCCCGGGCCACCTATCCATATTAGGCAAGCGCAAACAGGCCCCATGGGAGGATGAGGCCGAGGTCAGCCGCATGGAATGCCGGCACCAGCTGGCCACCATGGATCTGGAGGCCGCCGTGCAGCGCATGACTGGGCAGCCTGACATGCAGTTCTGGGGGGTGCAGGACCCGGTGATGCAGGCCATCCAGTGGGGGGAGAGCCCCGTGGTGGCAGTAATGCCCACCAGCAGGGGGAAGAGCATGCTGTTCATGGTGCCTGCATTTACTGCCCCTGGGGGCACCACCATTATCATGGTTCTGCTCATCGCATTACAGGCCGATATGATAAGACGATGCCAGGAGCTCAGCATATCATGTGTGCTATGGGAGAGCCAGCGGCCCCCCAATGCTGCATCCATCGTGTTAGTGACACCCAAATCTACGGTCAGCCCCGATTTCCAGACATTTTTGAACCGGCTGCGGTGGACCCAGCGGTTGGACTGGATCATGATCAACGAATGCCATGTGGTGTTGAATTCCCAGCGCGATTTCCGGCCCCAGATGGCCTAGCTAGGCCGGTTGGTCCAGGCCCGCACCCAGATGGTATGGTTGACCGCCACGTTGCCCCCAAGCATGGAGGCCGAATTATGCCAGCGGATGAAGCATGACCAGGCCGCCGTGACCATATACCGGGCCCGGACCAGCCGGCCGAACGTGGCATACTGGGTGTGGCGGCCGGACATGACCGGGGTCGGCCGGGGGCCATATCAGTGGATCGAGAGCGAGGCCGTGGTGGCATTCATTCAGGACCACATCCGACGGGCCACCAGGGGGAAGGTGATCATATATGTGAATATCATCAGGCAGGTGACAGCCATGGCATGGGTGCTCGGGTGCGAGGCGTATTACAGCGAGCAGTTGGACAAGGCTAGGGTGCTAGCGCGGTTCATGGGGGCCAGCCCAGTGATCACCGCCACCAGCGCGTTAGGCATGGGGGTGGACATCCCCGATATCCGCAGCATCATTCATATCAGGACCCCCCGGACGTTATTGGATTACGCCCAGGAGAGTGGCCGGGCCGGGCGCGACGGACAGCGCAGCGAGGCGATCATTATCCAGCCAGCAGGGTAGGACGCCCCAGCCCCATGGATGGAGGGGGTCACCCCCAAGGACCAGGAGCGGGTCGCTGAGTACATAGGGGTGGTGGAAGGGGTTAGATGCCGGCGGGTGGTGTTGGATGAATATTTAGATGGGGTGGTGGACGGGTATCAGCGGCAGTATTGCCAGGATGCGGATGCCGGGGAGCAGGCATGTGATGGGTGTGATCCCAATTGGGAGGGGCCAGTGGAACCAGCCCAGGTTGGTAGCAGCCCAGTGCCGGGTGAGCAAGCCCCAGAGGTTCCGTGCCAGGCAGGCAGTGAGGCAGTGAGAGAGGCAGTCCGAGAGGTCCCATGTCAGGCAGGCAGCACAGTAGCGAGAGAGGCCCCGTGCGAGGCAGGCCGTCAGGCAGGGAGAGAGGCAGGGAGAGAGGCCCCGTGCCCGGTAGGCCATCAGGCAGGCCGTCAGGCCGGGAGAGAGGCCCCGTGTGAGGCAGGCAGCATGGTAGCAAGAGAGGCACCCCAGGTCAGCCACAGCCAGGTACCGTGCGAGGCCACCAGGGAGACCGCCAGTCCCACCCCATCCAATGATTCATTTTGCAGCCAGCCATCCATTCCCATGGCGGTGTGGCATGCCCAGCAGGCACAGGCCCAGCAGTAGGCCGCCATAGATATCCAGCAGCAGCAGCATCGCACCCAGCAGGGTTTAGATGAGGAGATGGCCCAGGCCGAATGCATGCAGTGGCGGGAGCGATGTTATATATGCGCCATGCAGGGGGGTGATGGTGACCATAAGTTATATACATGTCATCAGCCCCACAGCCAGGCCGCACGGGCATGGATGATCCGCATGCATCAGCAGGTCCAATATGCCCCGTACAGCGCGTGTTTTTCGTGCGGCATGCCCCAATCCATATACCATGGGTGGGAGCCGGGCCATGCATGCGAATACCGCGGGTTTTTGATCCCCATGGTGGCCATAATGTTATTCGGGCCATGGCAGGGCCAGATCGAGCCCGTCTGGCAGCGCCGGCTGCAGGGAATGGGGGTTAATGGGCAGGATGAGGCCCAGGTGGTCCAGTTTTTAGGGCAGGCGCACCCCAACCACAAGGGGCACAGCCAGTTATTTACATTATTTTGTTGGTTATGGCGGTTATGTCAGGAGATCGAGGTCGATCAGCATTGATATATATTATACAGCTGGTTTATATAGTATATTAGTGAATCCGTGGTTTGTACATAGGCATATATATATAATGAGACATCAGGATATATATATGATATTAACTGCATTAGGGAGAGGGCAGTCAGGGAGGTCCCACATCAGGCAGGCCATCAGGCAGGCAGCATGGCAGGCAGCAAAGCAGGCAGCAAGGCAGGCAGAACAGCAGGTAGTGAGGTAGGTAGTCAGGCAGGCAGTGAGGCAGGCAGT